CACGTGAGTCACCCCTGCCCCAGGCCCTCTGCTCCATGCGCTGTCTCCTCCTACCTGCCTCTGAGCTTGCCCCCCTGCCCCACTCTCTGCCCCCAGGGTCAGCCCCTTCCCTACCCACCCTGCAACCAGGCCAGCCTTGCCCCCATTCAACCTGCCCTTGGGGAACACCCCTGCCCAATGCCGAGTGAGTCTGGGCGAGGGTTGAGGGAGCAGAGGGCTGGACTCCCATTCCTGGTGACCCGCTGCTTCTCCCCAGGTAACGAGTCCATCTGCTCTCCCAACGTGTACATCGAGTGTGCCGACCACACGCTGGGTAGGTGCGCGGCACGGGGCCGGGGAGGGCGGCGGGCTGGGGGCAGCCCCTGCCCACCAGGGTGCCTGTCCCCCAGACACAGCCGTGGAGGACAGCCAGGACCGCTGCAGCTGCCCCACACCATGCAACCTGACGCGCTACGGCAAGGAGATCTCCATGGTGCGCATCCCCAACAAGGGCTCCGCGCGCTACCTTGCCCGCAAGTACAACAAGAACGAGACCTACATCCGGTGAGTGGTGCGGGCAGGGTGCGCGTCCTCGTCTCGGGGCAGGGGCTGGCGCCAGCTCCCGGAGGCCCCCTGGATGCTGGGAATCTGGGGGAGCCCCAGTCCCACGTGGCTTGCAGAGACTTGGTCCTTCTGCAGCATCCTCTCCCCAGCAGTGGCTGGAGCATCTGCGCTTTCCATAACCCCCTCCTATCCTTATCTGTGCGCATCCCACAACCACTTCCAGCTCAGGACATGTCCCCATTGCACCAGCCAGCCCATGATCACTCCACATGTCCCAAATAACTCACTTCGCATTTGTGCTGCTGGGGTGGGAAACTGCAGCAGCTGGGAAGCTTCATCTCCCCTGCACTCGCCCTGCAGCTGAGGTTCGCGCTGCCCCATGGGGAGTGCTGCTGGGGCTGCTGGGTGTCTTGGGGCTGAAGGGACCAGCACATGGGGCAGCATGAGGGACCAGGGGCTGTGGGAAGCCAGGCATGCCTGGGGAGGAGACGGGGGTGCCAGGTTTGGGGGCCAGCCCTCACCGCTGAGCACTGCTGTGTCCCTGCAGGGAGAACTTCCTGGTGCTGGACATCTTCTTTGAGGCGCTGAACTATGAGGCCATTGAGCAGAAGAAAGCCTACGACCTTGCTGGGCTTCTCGGTGATTCCCCTTGCCCTCCCCATGGGACTCCTGCCCGGCCCCGCATTACACAGAGCTCTGGCCCCGGGAGGATGTGGGGCTGGTCTGGGTGAGACCACAGTGGGTGGGAGCCAGGTCACAACCTGGTGATGTCCCCCAGGATGGTGGTGTCCCCTTCCATCCTATGGCCCCTGCCTTAGTCACAGAGGTGTCCTCTGTGGCCCCAGGAGTGGGCTCCCACCCCAACCCTACTGGCCTGTCCTGGGCTCTGTCCCACAGCTCCCCATGACCAACTCTTGCTCCTGCTCTGCAGGGGACATCGGGGGGCAGATGGGCCTGTTCATCGGTGCCAGCATCCTCACCATCCTGGAAATCTTGGACTACATCTACGAGGTGCGCTCAGCGTTCCCGGGCTGTGTCTGAGGTGGGAGCAGGACTGCCAGGCACAGGAGGTGTTGGAAGAAGGGGCCAGGCATGGGAGACAAGACTGACCAGGCCATCCTTGATGCCCAGGAGCCAGGAAGGCCGTGGCATAGCCAGGGCTAGCACATGGGACAGGGCAGTACGGCCCCCAGATTGACTGCGCTGGAGGGGAACAGCTCCCCATGCATCCCTTGGTGTCCAGGGAGTAGTTGGGGATGGAGCTGGGATGGCAGGGGGGCCCTGCAGGTCCGTGCAGACCGACGTGTGCACGCACAGCTGCACATGCACCCATGAGGGTCTGTGCACATGTGTGTCTGGAAATGACCTTCTCCCTTCACCCAGGTGATCCGCGACAGGGTGACCCGGCTCGTGCGCCGCTCCAAGCCGCCCCTGAAGAAGCCCTCGGGCAGCATTGCCACGCTGGGGCTGGAGGAGCTCAAGGACCAGGTACAGCCCCTGGGTGCACAGCCCCTGCCACGCACGGGGTGCGCACCCAGCGCCACGCAGGTGCTCTTTGCTGCGGAGGCTACGGTGGGAGAGGCACTTGGCAGGGAGCAGAGCAGGCTGCATGCCCAGCGGGATGGAGAGGCACTGGGGCTGGGGAGGCCGTGCTCGTGGGCAGGGGGCACGAGGGGGCTGTGGGGCTGCAGGCTCTGCTGCCCCCCCGCCGACAGTGCCCTCCCCCCCGAGCC